GGAGTGTTTTGCCGGCAGCGCCTCCGCGATACAAAACTGACGGGGACCATCTTTCGCAGCCGAAGACAGGACAAAGGAAGCCGTGCTGGCGCGGCACGTCTTTTTGCTCAACAACGACTGGCTCGCAGCGGCTGAAATAGCGATTGTAGAGAAATATCAAGGCGCAGAGGTGAGGCGTTGCCGCGGAATCACGGGGTCCGGAGCTGATGGCTTGCTATACAGGTTGATTTCCTGCTCTAGGCGGGCAGGAGGGGGCAGGGGGAATAGGCGGGCCGTACAGGGAGCACAGCGAACTTCATTCCTAGTTCACATTACATTTCCGAGATTGACCACCGCGTCATATTTTGCAGTCGATGCAGACTGACCACCGCATCCTATGTTGCAGTCGTTGCAGATCAACACGCAATTCCGTACATCCCGCGAATGTGCGGTCTGCCTCCGCGGAGTGCTGGGCAGCCGATGCCGACAGCTTGACCACGCGCCAGTGAACCCGGTAAGAAGCAGTGAACCACATTCATCTCGCAATCTCTGCCACACTCTCAAGTCCGCGTGTACACCGCCTCATCTTCTCGTGGGCTGCATCTCCTGTGCCCGGGTATCTCGTCGTATCACGTCAAACACACCGGGACCGAGAGCTGAAGGGAAGGCTATCAGCTCCGAGTTGCAGCTAGATAAGACAACCTGAAAAGGTCAGGTGCAGCTGGATGGGAAAATCTGCTCACCCAACCATCACCAACGATCATCGGATCTCTCAATATTTGAGAATGATATACAAGGCATGAATGATGCCCGGGATGTAGCCGAGGACGATTGTGGGTCAGCGGTGCTCTCATGTCGCGAGCTGCGGGCGGGAAAGGTGACTGAGAGGAGGATCTCATATGTGTTCCTCCTCGGGGCAGAGCAGGTGGACGGAGAAGAGGAAGATCCTTACTCGTCAGGAGGATGTTGATCAGCAAGTCGGCCTGCGCGAGGTATCAGCTTGTTACTCGGTGAGGACAAGGCTTCCTCCTTGGCTGACAGAGAGAGGAAGAGGCACGTACACCACACCCGCGCTCGAGGAAGACACCGAGAGGCTAAGAGGGTCAGCGAGAGTGACGCGTGAAGACGCAGAATCACACTCACCGGCAGGATGACCGCGAAGACGATCTTGATGATGTCGCTGCAGGCTGGGTCGGGTGTCAGTCAAGATTCACCGCGGATGCGAAGCAGGCGGGCAGGAAGAAGGCTTGCTGCGCCAAGAGTGCCCCATGCAGGTCGGTGGGAAGGGATAGCTACGCTTTCCAAGGGCGGGCGAGGGGTACGCCGTGTACTCACTGAAGGCCATGTTGAGTGGTTGTGTAGAGTAGATGTGTGTGAGGAGATTGAGATATGCGGGGTTGTGGGTGGCAAGTTGAGGATGAGAATGGGAATGGAGTTGAGATGGGATTGATTGTTATACACGTTTGGGTCGGGGGGTTTCGCGTTCGCGAGTGGCTTGGCTCGGGTCAAGGGAACGGGAGCGCTACGTCATCGCGAGGGCAGGCACCGTGCACCGCAGCCACTCAAATTTGCTTCCGTCAGGCAGCCGAGGCACATTGTCAGGTCCAGGTCTGCATTATAAGGCTGTCGCTGTCTATGGGTGGGTCGCGACCGGGTCATTCTCCCTTCTCGGCGCGGTACCTCTTGAGCCTCGCACGGAAGTCCTCGAGACCCGGGAACTCCTCTCGCAGCTTGGCAACGTCGACATGGTACCCTTGCTCATCGAAGAACTACTTGGGTCAGCTCGACGCATGCTCAGAGCAGACTTTGGCACCGTGATCTTCGTAATCACTCACGTCCATGACCTTCCTTGCGATGGGTACGTACCGCCTGGCGAACCAGGCCAGGGCCACCATGCTGGTCTCAACCGGCCCACCCATCACCTCCTGGTGCATCTTCTCCAGCTCGTCCATCGTAAGCTCGTCGCCTGCCAGCGGGATCTCCTTGTTCGCGTAAATGTCCGACCGGTTGAGCGCGGTCGCTCCGGCGATACCGATATCGCGGGCCGACACCAGCTGATGCTTGCGCTCTGGATGGGTTCGGAAGCCGTATTTGAGGAGCACGGTTCGGCCAAATTTGAGAGTGCCGGGCGCGTCGGGCAGCCAGTTATCCATGAATTGGACGGGACGGAGGAAGGTCCATGTGATGGGTAGGGTGCGGATGTGGTTCTCGACAGTTCGCTTGGACTCGTACCTATCTATTATCAGTGGGGAGGCACCGAATGGGCATGACAGGCAACGCACATATCCAGACCTGTGTCTGCGAGACCTCCGAAGTCACTCGAGGCATAGATGAATCGCTCCGCTCCCAACTCGACAGCAGCATCCGCGATCGCCTTGCCTAGAAGTCCCCATCAGCGTCCAATCCGCAGAATGTGGTGCTGTCGAACCGCACTGACCCTGGGCAATGTCCACCTTGGGAGACACGTAGCTCTGCACGCTGAACACGGCGCAGACTCCACCCTTGGTCACTCCCGCATCGGCGAATGCCTTTGCTGGCTCATCCATGCAGTTCTTCGCGACCTGCTTGACTTGGACGCCGGGCAACGAAGCTAGCCTCGTGGAAGAACCAGACGTAGAGTCACGAGTCAAGGCGAGAATGGTGTACGCCGGAGAGCTAGGGTTGGTGTTGTACCCGGAGAGTGCCTGTAAGCGGTCAACGCGCAAATTCCATCGCGGGCATAGACGACTTCAGTCATACCTTGATGAAGGCAGTCCCTTGAACGCCGGTAGCCCCGAAGACGACGACGGTCTTGCTTGAACTCGCGGACATGCTTGCGGATATGGCTGCGGTGGGTCAGGTGTGGGCTGGGCTTGCAAGTGATACGTGTCGGACTATCAGTGATCATCGACCGCGTCATGTCTTATACGGTTGACAGCATCCTCGGCCTTCGGGATTGTCCATCACTGCAAGACAGCCTCGACGGCCTCGCAATCCCGCGAGCCCGTCACGAGCAAGATGGATGTCTGCATCGATCGGAGGACGAAGTTTCGTCGATCAAGTCGGCGACGGAGCGAGCGGGGAGAGGTGCCCGCAGATCAACAACGCGAATTGCCGAAAAGGGCAACTTCGCTCGGTAGGCGGCATCGGCCATCGGCGAGATCATCGTCGTTGCCATTGCGGTCATGGCTACAGTATGCATCCCGACAGCGACAGCCTGCATTGCTTGGCGAGAGACACGTGGGGGCGAGCATGCACGAGGATGCAACTGTGCCTTTAGCATGTGGGTCTGTGACCGCTTGGAGACTGCTCAGTCGGCGATCAAGCCGGCGGCACGCCTCAGCAATCCCTGGACGTCGCGGACAAACATCGAAAACACGTCCTCCCCATTCAGAGGCCTTCCAGCGCCGACATGGCAGCCGTCCACATCCTATCGAGCACCGTTCAGCGACCCTTTTTGACCGACTGTAGCGGATCGTGCGAGACACCCGAGTCGCTCACTTCTCGCAACAAGACGTCAACGCCCGCCGCCTCCATACTACGGGCGAGGCTCACGTCCTCGTCAAAGATGACCTCCCTGGTCCCCGTCATGATGTACACCTTTGTTTCTCTGAGACACTCCCATCGCTCCGCGCCTGCCAGCGCTGGTGAGAAGTACGGGTCTGTCACTTGATTATCTCCCACCCATCTCAGCGCGGAGGACACGAGCCGCGTCCGCTCCCTTGTTATGGTGAGCCAATCTGTGGCGGCGTTGGTCATGTGAGACGCGAACGAGAAGGTCATGTCTTGCCCATGGCGAGCTGAGGGCTATGAGACCCGGCTGAGGCAGATTTGCCTCAGCGAGATAGCGCGAAAGGGCGAGAGCGAGGTGCCCCCCTGCGGACTCGCCTACGAGGATGAAATCCTCGGGAGCGAAGGAGAGGATCGAGGTGAGATGGATGTATCCGGCGAGTGCGTCGAGTATGGGCCCCGGAAAGGCCGATGCGGACGCAAGGCACTTGCGGTAGTTGACTCCTTGAACATGTCAGCGCGGGGTCGGAATCGGACGTTCAATGAGCCCTGGAGCATCGCTACAAACCTAGTGATCTTACGCCCAAGCTCTTGCAGAACTCGTACGGGAACCTGTCTTGACAATGCGACCCTCCGACATACCCCCTGCACGCGTAAGGCGACCCCGCTTTCACATATACTGCACCACGCTCACCCGCCATGCAAGTGCATCACCACCTTTTCACCCTCTTTCGCCACCTCCAACCCCTGACCCACCGCTGCGGGAGGGGTGAACATGAAACCCGGAACCTCCACACCGTCTGCACGGCGGGACAATCTCCGATACCTCGCTGTAGCTGTTCACGTACTGGCGCAAGTCTTACGGGAATGACCTCCACTCCATGGCGGTCGGTCCCGGGAGGGACCTCGAATGGTCCGACCTGGGGTGGGCTGAGCGGTCCGAGCTGGGATAGGCCCATCCGAAAGCGGTCGAGGCGGGTGAGGAGGTAGGTCGACAGTGACCATCGGGAGACGGGAGGGCCAAGGAGGTGATACCGCACCGAATAGACAGTGATGAGAACGGGTTTCGACACGGCGCAGAGGATGTCGACTAGGTGGGTGAATGTCCGGTGAGAGAGCCATGCCGGCTGGATTGGGTCGCGCTCGGCGAATGACCGTTCCTTGACAGTGTTGAGCCGTCCTCGCCCGCTCGTGATTGGGAAGATGTACTCATTCATGATAAGCTGACTGCCTTTGGTCCGTCAAGTGCATCTATGTATGTCACGACGCAATGAATGAAATGGCTTCTCGCCTGTATTTCCCCTTTGCCCCGACCGGCCCGGGAACAGACCGCTCGAAAATCGAGCCCATCATGCACGGTGTGCCGAGGAAACTTTGAAACGATCCATCAATGATGGATCACCCTCCCATGCTCACTATTGCTTGCGACCATCGCGCGATGTGAGATGATGTCCTGGCTGGGATCCAGCCAAGTACGTAGAGAGAGAGAGACCTTCAAAAAGTGCAAAATATCAGCGCCGAAGCGCTTGCCTTGACCCCGATTCGAACGGGGGTTTGCACGGATTCCGTGTCACGAGTAGTAATTGATCACAATTAACCACAACGTGCTGTCCTAACCGACTAGACGATCAAGGCTTCGAATCGCTGTTTTACCCCTTTTTCCAATTGATTGTATACCGCCCGAGTTTTTGTTTGCGCTGTACCTTCCCGGTGGACCTGAGGCTTTCCTGAGTTATCGTATTCCCACGAAGGGCCTAAGGAGTATTCGGCGAGGCTCTTTGGGTTGCGCGGGCAGGAAGGCGCGTAGACGGAGTGGCCGGGGTGGCTTTAGCTGGGGCATGGTGGGTGTAGATGGACTCGGCGTGAGAGCGGTCGCTGGTCGCTCGGCGGGGGTATGTTCGATACGCAGGGTGTGTGAATGAAGTCGAGTCCATGAGGGCGTATCCAGGTGCGACATCATCTACCTCCATGACAGTGACTTGTCCGGCTTTCCAGACATCGCGGGAGGGCCGGATCTGATCGTTTCCAATGGCTCGGGATATTCACGGTCGATTGCGGCGTGGAAACCTCCACCCGATGACTAGTAACTCGTCAAGTACGACCGTACGTACTGTACTTACCCCGCGACTGGTCGTGCATCAATCATCTCATCGGTTCCTCTCCGTCTTTCGTCAAAGTAGTTTCTTCACTCTCTCAAGGCCACCGACATGCTCAGCGTCCACGAAGCTACCATAGTTGATCCCCGGATCATCCCTTGGTCCATGCGAGGCTCATACCTGTGCATGGCCACCAAGTCTGGCCAGAATGGTTCACTCACCCCTGGCAACGACATCTATCTCATATCCCACATCCACCCTGGGGGCCTGCCTCTGTTCGCACTCCGACCGAACCTACACGGGGAGCTTCCTCCTGTCAGTGGCTTCCACCGCACCCCAACGCCCGTGGACTTCATGGCTTCGCCCTCCCGGATGCGGTGGTCCTCGGGAGACACCACGGTAGGTGAGGCTACCTTCCAAGACCCTCGGACCATACGCCTCAGAGGGACGGTGCCGCTGTCGTTCGATACGGAAGGTGCACTCCAGGTAGACCAATGGAGGTGCTGGCTCTTTCGTGTACCGCCGACGAGCAACGACTCGCTCGAGACCGTAGAATTCACGTCAGCGCCGAACACGGCGCTTCGCTTCGTCGCTCTGCGAGGGACAATCGCACTCGTTCATGATGCGCCGTATGACCCCCAGTTCAAGAACAACAACCGTCGTCTGACGGTCTCGGCCGATCCTGAAGCCGCGTCTTGGGAGCTTCTCATCACTGAGCGGGATACAGAGGCCGAGACGCCTTCACATCCGCCCCCACTCGGGAACGAGACGTTCGATGGATACGCTGAGGCCATGGGCAAGGCGTTCGAAACCTACGTCAACGGCATGTGCGCCTGGGGCGCGACAGGTACCTCGGCAGTGACGTCCGCCGATCGCCTGGCGGCCTACGTGATGTGGACATCGACGGTGCGGGCCGGCGGCTTTTTAGGTGCTGAAGCAGTTCTGATGTCCAAGTTGTGGATGAACAAGGCATGCCATCATAGCTCCTCTGGACCCCCATGCTGACAACACCATACGTAGCTTTGGTCCTGGGACAACTGCCTGAACGGTCTCGCCCTGGTGCCATACAACCTGGATCGAGCGTTGGATCAGATTCTCTTGCCGTTCCAGCACATGACATCAGAAGGACGTCTTCCGGATTCGTTGACGCGCACCGAAGTGCTCTTGGATTACACCAAACCCCCGGTTTACGGCTGGACTTTCCTCAAGCTTCTTCAACTTCTCGATCCCAAGTCCAGCTCGTCTACGCCAAGCTTCGACTGCCTTCCCCGCGAGCGTCTGCTTGACATCTTCGACAAGGTCTCGGCTTTCACCCGGTACTGGTATCGGTATCGCAGCACGTCGCTTTCGGCGCTCCCTTACTACTGTCACGGCAATGACAGCGGATGGGACAACTCGACGGCTTACGACAGGCAGACTGTTTGCGTGTCCCCTGATCTGGGGGCATTCCTCGTCGTGCAATGTGATTTCCTGGCCCTGCTTGCCGCTCATCTCGGCAAGGATCACAGTGAATGGAGTCGGCTGCGAGGTGAAACCGTCCAAGCGCTTGTCCAGGAGCTCTGGAGCGAAGAGGAAGGGGCATTCACTTTCAAGGATGCGCTCGATGGCTCCACCTGGACCTCATCGAGCCTCCTTCAGTTCGTCCCCTTGGTCGCATCCGCTCACCTGCCATCCTCGATTGTCAGTCGGATGGCTCAGAACCTCACGCCGTACCTGTCTCAGTGGGGTTTGGCAACCGAGAGACTAGACTCGAAGCTCTACGAGTCTGACGGATACTGGCGCGGACCAATCTGGGCGCCTCCAACAATCATGATCGAGTCGGGACTTCGCGCGGCGGGCATCACAGACCTCGCCAACACCATTTCGGAGAGATACGTTCGACTCTGCGAAAGAAACGGGTTCGCAGAAAACTATGATGCTATTACAGGGCAGGGCAACAGGGATCTTTCATACACGTGGTCGGCGTCTGCGTATCTGACGCTCAGAAAGGAGCAAGAAGCTCGCAGGTCGACCCGATTCCTGTAGTGATGATGTACAGTAGTTCAACGGCGAAGGAACTCGCGAGCGCTGGGCCAGTCACAAGGTGGAGGAGAAGCATGTGGAAGACCTCTGACTCGTGGCGTGATGGAGAGCAGGCCGCGTCACCACATCCGACCGTAGTTCACGAACTCCTCCGCCTCGAAATTCGTCGCAATTATTCGTCGTCTTGCAGTCATCCGTACATGTACTATTGCTCTGAAGGACAAGAGTATGCAATATTGCACCCTTGAATCCTTTTCTACGTATCTCCTCAGGATGACGCGGGGTGCAGAAATGGAGATGAGTACAAGCGTGGCCTCACTGCCTCTCGTATTCCTCATATGTAGTTGGCTTCTGCCCCTGGTAGTTTGGTGGCGGCGAGTCATTGTTTCGGGGATGGAGATGCTGGTAGCGCTGCTGAGAGGCGAAGGAGCGCGTGATCGGTCGCAGCTGGGTTGGCTGCTGCGCTTGGGTTCTCCGTGCGGCTTCGCGACGACGTTGTCGGGGCAGGAGGAAGATGAGGCCGACCACGTAGGCGAGCGCGGTGATCTAAAGAAGGTGGTCAGTAGCTATTCGCTCCACTGCCGATAAGTATTGTACTCACGCCGACGATGATGACCCATCCAACCTTCCAGCCTAAGCTGGGCGCTCCGGTTCCAGACCAGATACCCCACTCTTCGACGATCCCTGAAAAAGGCGTCAACAATCCGTTAGCAGGGGCATGCCTCGGCTTTGAGGCGAAGCTAGAAGCGTTACTCACCTTCCCAGGTGGTCGCGAATCCCGCGATGACAACGACTATGCCAAAGATCATGTGGAGGAAGTTGGTCGGGCTACGGCCGCTCTTGCTGCGGAATCTGTCCCCCGTGAGGTTGCGGAACCAATGGACATAGATGCCGAGGAGGACTTGACCGATCATGAAGAGGAACAAAGCCAGGCCGACTTTCTACGACATCGCAAAGGTGTCAGTGACCGAGTATCGGAGCATCTGATGTCGCTCACCCTGTGGTTCGAGTTGAAGCCCCCAGTGAAGTTGGTGACAGCGATGATGAACGCGGCGGTGACCAGCGCAAGCGCGACGATACCCATCGCCGATCCGTGCACGGGGAACCACCATCTCGAATCGGACAGTCCTCTGGCGTAGCGAGGCACGAGGACCGCCGCGGGTATGACGAGCATGGTGGCGAATGCCCCGCAGACGACGTGCGCGATGAGCATGGTGCGGGCCAATCCCGAGGCAGTCGAGGTCGAGTCGGAGTTTCGGGAGACTGTCGAGTTGGTGATCGGCGTGAGTAGCGCCATCGTGATGGTACCGAACGAGACGTGCTGCTGGATGTTGGCACTGGAGGAGGACGACTTGGGATTGGTGTTCCCGTAGGCCCAGATGAGCTCAGTCGAGTTGGTAGTGCTGGAGCTGGAGGGAAGGGTGAATGTCATGCCGATGCCTGACGAGTTGGAGAACGAAGAAGCCGTCTGGAGCGTGGCCACTCGAGATGGGTTGGACACGACTGCGCCGATATGTAAGCAGGGTCTTCAAGAGGATCGGCAGCTGGGGATGAAGGGTGCAACCCGAGAAGAGTGGGGGAGAAGCAGCACTCACCGGATGGCGTGTCATGACCCCTGGACTGCCTTTGAGTGAGCGTGAAGCTGCCGTCCGAGTTCGGCCAGGTGATGATCATGGGGGACCCGCTCATCTGGGTCCCAAATCCACTGCGCGGGAATCAGCGGGTGAGTTTCAAGCTGAGGAGAGTGAGAGTGTGGAATCAAGACGGCGAAGTGTAAACACGCACATGGCCGCCCATCCAAAGTTGCTCGAGGAGCTCATCGAAGAGCTCGCGGAAAGTGTATCTGGTGCTGATCAGCACGGCGCCGCCCCCCAGATGCTGTCGACTCACAAGTGTCCGTGCTGGTTGTGTCGTCGTGAGTACCGGTGATACACATGTACTGAGCGCTTCAGCACGAGCTTCGCTGCACTTGCACGTCCGGAACAAAGGAGGGTATCGTGTTTGTCCACCACTCACTGGGTTGCAATACTCCTGGCCGGTGACAGTCGCCTGAGCGCCTCTTGCCACCACGAGGATGAGAGCGAGACCCAGCCCGATCATCGTCTTGACTGTCAACCTGGGCCCCAAGCTTCTCCTTGATGTCCTCATGATTGCCAGCTTGAATTGAAGTCTACCGCTCTATCAAGTTGTCGAGCCAGAGAAGCCGGTTTGTGGTGAGTGTTAAAAAAAGATTTAGTGGATCAAGTCTTGAGATGATCATGTCGTCAACGGGTCGATCCTGGTTTCCATTCTTCATCTCGGCGGGACGGCTGCTGCGGAGCGCCTGGCGCCCGGCCGTCGCGTTGCACAGCCCATGAGAGTCTGTCATTGATTGGGCGGAATTTGCTTTTCAACTCGGACGAGGCGTGCTTCAAGTCCGGCAATATGATGAAATCCCCGCCATGCCACGGCCCCAATTTAGAAAACCATCCGCATTACGACCCCCGCACCAGTGCCTGGGGCCTCTCGACAC